TATTCTATGTTCATGTTTACTCCAAAGGTTAACAATTTATAATAAAAAAGTAATATTTACGTTGTATTTGAGAAAAATTAATGACACTTAGATTTCTCAAATTCAACTTAAAATTATCGTCACGAGTCTGACACAATACTGTAGGTCAAGGGGTTAATAAGAAAGAATTGTTTATTTTAACCTTTCGCACTCGATTTATTTTTAATGTTGTTGGGTGCAAACTTGTATTTATTTTTAGGGAAATGAGTTAAAGTAATTTACAGCGGTAGAATTCAATGTTTTATATTTATTTCATTTATTATTATTATAATAAGAATTAATTTCTGTAATCTTTTAAAGTGTGGTACTTTTCAAAATAATTTCCAACGTTCCATAACAAAGTATTGTCATCTCCAGCATGACATACGAGTGCAATGGGTTAACACTTCATTTACCGAAAAATTATTAGGGTAATTCTGGCAAGATGACCCTACAGGTGCGATAGGTATCGATTTGAGATGTTCGAAAAATTCTAGAAACATATAACATGCTATTAAAGTCAATATTTTGAAAAATCAATAACTCTGGAATGTTCTAAACGTAATTGAAGTATGTAATGTATGGAAACGATAGAATGAATAGAAAGCAGCTTAACACGTTGAATGCCATGGAGTCACCGGTGACCCCTGACCAAATCGAATTACTATAGTTCACACAATTAAACGATGATTATTTGAAAATATTTCTGTATTATAAATACCTAATACAGTGATATTCAACTAAATAAATGTGCAATAATAATAATGCAATTCAATCAAATGATTTAATATTATATCTTTTCCATGTTGTGTATTTATTTTGTTTGATAACAGTCCCAAAAAAGAGTGATTAGATTATGTTTCTTAAAATGGTTCGTTGAATCAGAATTAAATTGCTATTCAAATATTTATTGAAAAGTTCATATGCACTGATTATGAATCTTCAATAAACTGTTCAATAACTGCCGGTATATAATGTGTTAAAATTGGAGAGATCACAACATTTAAAACTTCACTTATCGGAAACCTATTAATAGGTTTCTCAACGAATGCATTAAAGACGGAAGTTAATAATAAACGGGTGTTTTATTTTCTCTTTCGATATGGAGAAGTCTCGACGTTTTATCTATCAAAGATTATTTAATAGTTTTGTAAAAATGAAAGATTGATAACTAAGAATTTCTTATCAAATCTTGGCATAGTTATTTTATGGTAATTAAAACTGACAAGTAATCGTGAGTTATATAGTCTAATAATTTGCCTTTTTGTATCATTATTTAACATATTATAAAATATTGTTAGACTACATTACTTGCGATTGTTTGTTAGCTTTAATTACTATAAAATAATTATATATAAAATATAATCTAATCTATATAAAAACTATATAAAATATAATCTAGTAATGTTATAATTAATAATACAAAAAGACATTATTAAACTATATTACTTGCGACTGTTTGATAGTTTTAATTACTATAATACCTATTCTTCTTTTTATATTATTCCCTTAATTACTATAATACCTATTACAAGGCAATAAGAAATTCTCAGCTGTCAATCTTTCATTTGTACAAAACTATTAAATAATCGCTGGCAGATAAAATATCGAGATTTCTTTGTATCCAAAGAAAAAGTACAATATATATTTGTAAATAATTCCAAGATAAAATACGTTCTAAGAGTTTCAACTGAATCGAAAGTGGGAACAAAATTAAAATTGACGATTGCGATAACTACTAAGATTTTCGTTTCTGGGGTAAGTGCTGTGCGGGTAATCACAGTTCTTTTAGAAAACAACCTTACAACGTAACGTCCTTGCGTTGTAGGCAAGGCAACGTCGAATTGTTCGTCATTCTTAACTTTCACTCGCCATTCTCCCATCACCATCTCTGCGTTGGAAAACTCGTTATTATACCAATTATTCCGGAAGTGATAAGAAACGCGCGTGCTTCAGCAGTTTGAGGATTGCAGTGTTGTGTCTATGCAAACTCGCATCATTTTTCTTACCGTTTTTAGCTATAGACGAATGCCATATTGTTGATCCTTGATTACTACAATTCCTGAGAAAAAAATTAGGGTGACCATAGTTCTGAACATTTTTCGTGGTAACCATAGTATTGAAAATCCAAAAGGTAATTTAATCCTCCGATAACAATCCAGACATTTTATGGTCTGGCTAGATTTTTCATTGTGAGTTTTTTCAAAATCTAAACAAATTCTGAGATATTTATTATAGCTCTTAATTGAATTTACAAATGACACTTTAGACAAATCATCGTGGTAAAGTCGTGAAGATATTAAATTTTCCATTTGCTTAAGTCTTTGCACACCAGAAGTTTTTGGAAATATTCAACATTCTCTAATCAAATACAGACATTTTTTTAAACTGACTTGACAAGAAATCGCATATAAATTCAGAAACGAAGTTATTTTATTTCAATATTTCACATATTGATGCATTACACAAAGTTTAATATTAATTATGAAACTTTAGACTTTTGTTGTGTCAAATCAATTGAAACTGAGGTGTATCTCTAGAGTACAAAGGGTTAATCAAAGAGTTAATAAAAGATTTTAAGCTTAAGGTACACAAAATTAATATGAGGAAACGAATGCGAAAAAATATATAAAATACTTAATATGTAACGCTTTCTATAATATTTATTAATAAAAACTCTTTTTTCTATCGTAATCCTATTTTTCTAGTTATGTTGTTAAAAATTCGAATTTGCTAATAATCGCTGATATTATTGATTAACTAATTATACTAATTAATATTTTTTATTTGGGATCACATAAAAATTATAAAAGAAACATAAACATTGACAATTCTTTTCCAAATAAAGAATGCGAAATAAATTAATAAATTAGACTACGTAACAATATTATAAATGAAACTATATGAATAATACACATGATTTTTATTTTGAAAGATTAATGATTTAGAATTAAAATCGTGGCAATTGTCTGAACGTCAACTATTCTTATGAGAAATCAAATAATATAATATACAATTTAAAAAAGAAAATACAGGTGAGCTTAAACTTTCCAAAAACTGCATTTAAAAAAATAATTATACTGACATTTTATGGTATTTGTCATTCCAAACAACTTTTGCGAACAAAACTGTTGTGTATTTCTCAAATTAATGGAGATATTTAAGGTATTCAAAGTTATTTGACCAATTTGTATAATTTCCACATTCCTCGCGTTTATATTGTGCTTATCCGCTTTTAAATGAACTAAATTTTTCGCAATGGATTAGATATGCGATGTGCAAGCCAGTTGCCTGCATTAATAAACTTAATAGCAATCAAAATACCGTTTCCATTGCATGAAAAATACCAAAAGTGGCGGTACGAAAGAATGAATGAATGGTAAATTATGAATGACTTAAAAAGAAGACTATAAGTGGGTTTAAGAAAAACACAAGAACTGATTAATAAAGAAACAGACCGCAGGGAAAAGAGTATAGTGTGCAAAGATAAGGTTCTGTGGGTAACAAGTGTTATTAAACCCAAGAGTTGTTTACAAAAACAACAAAATAAAATGTAAATGGTGCTATAATAGATTAATTAGCACATAGGAAAAAACCACAATGCCATAGCATCTCTTAAATGTTTTGAAACTTTTGAGTAAAGACTAAAGAAAAATATTGACTATTGTTATTTTTAATTAGAAAGAAACAAGGAAATTAATAAAGACAAAATTTTCTTAGAAAATCTAAATTTTCTGTGTGTTATATATTTTTAACAAGAGTGATAAAACATTTATATAATATTATTAATGTATGTAAGATCTCAGCTTTACAGGCAAAAAGTCTGTAACGTTTGAATAAATGAAGATAAACTGATTTAATAATAACAGATTGTTGTTACCAGTTACTGAAACGTTATTACTATAGGTACATGATTTACTCTTAATATTTAATTTTACTTATATTTATGCATTTATATATTTATTTATTAGTTTTCAAGAAACTTACTATATTCATTATTAGTAAATATCTCGTTCTCAATTAAACTAATCATTTCATTCTTTTAATACTACGTTTACGGAACGCGTCAATTGCACGCATACTGAATTTTATAAACATTAGTTGGTAAATGTTCACGTTAATATTTAACTTTATTATAAAATAATATATATATAAATAATATATATATAATAATATATATTAAGGAATTTGGCAAATTTGATAGTCAAACATTTGACAAAACCTTTCCTTTTTAAATTAACTTAAATTTAAATAAATAATTAATATTTTTATATACACAAATATAATATTATCTACCATTGAATTTTGATTCATGCAATTGCACGAACATGTATCCTAATCGTCTATTTTCATACCCTTCATTTTCAAGATCGGAATGGACGTACATCCATTTTGCTAGGAACAACAGAATAAACTGTACAATAAACATTCGTAAACCTAATATTAAGAACTTCGAAAAATTTATTTTCGGCCACAGAAATATCGGTAAGGACGCTTCTATTGCGCAACAGGTGCGTCGCTGTACTCTGATCAACTTTCCTAATCGCGGTCTCGAAAAGGAAGAAAACGGAAAAGTATCACGATCGTCGGATAACGATCGCGACGTGATCGCATGTTACAGTTTACACCGTTTAATTAACCCGGACGTGCAAAGCAATTATTATTACATGGCACAGGAGAGCACACGTAAGACGATTTTGCAAACCAGCGTATTTCGCGTGCCTTTCATAACACGGCAGTGTTTTAATGCGAGTATCTTATCTGCTCGTACATTTAAGCAAATACAATGCCTTTTTTCAAGGAATTACCTTCTTTACGCGTCACTCGACTATTGTCGCTGATAATGATAGTTAAAAGTGCAATTGTCACGGTCCCATGTCTGTCGACCAATAACGCGTAGTTACATCGATACTTTTGTCAAATGATACCACTATTTGCACGCGACTGATGAAGAGAAACGTTTCTCGCGAATGAATGGGAATCATCTGAACAGTACGTTTCGAGAAGACGTAACTCCGTTAAAATTCGTTTTTAATTGTAAACGAGTCTAGTATGTTTAATATATGTCTTCCACCTTGACGAGATATGATCGTTCTGCTAGAAATTATAATCACCGAGATCATATAATCAAGTACTTAACGCGTTAACTGCGATGCCGGTCCCCAAAGACTGGCAATAAAAGATTTCCTATATAGTGGTGTAGGATTGAAACGATGTTTTAAAATGACGTTATAATTGTAACTTTCGAAATGAGCGAACAATTTCAATAGATCATCCTATAGAAATTAACAAAAACCACATTTTGTATAATGTTCGAAATGAGTGAACAATTTCGATGGATTCTCTAGAAATGGACGAAAATCATTCTTTTGTGTAACTTTCGAAGTGAGGGACCAGTTTATCGAAATTGTGACTTCTAACAGAAAGTAACAAAGACCATTTTTATGCGACAGGTGCGTCGAATGCCTCAAGCATTGGCTTCCGGTAAATTGAAGAGAACAACGTCCACCCCGCAGATCCTGGAAGCGGTCAGTCTGACGCAGACGACGCCATCCTTCACGCCAAAGATGACCAACGGAGTGATATCGAGTCGCACCACCCCCACGCCTCTGCGGTTTGCCACTGCGCCCAGCCAGAAAGGGTTGATGCACAGGTTTCTCGCCACCCGGGGGAAAATTTACAAGCCGAAATCTGCGGTGAACGACACGCTGACACCACCCACAACGCCAACAATCGCCCTGAACCCGTTGAGCATCACAGCGTTCAACAGAAGCTTGACCATTCAACTGGAACCGGACGACGAGCCCAAGAAACCACCGGTCAGGAAGGGTTACGTCCCGGTGGAAGAGAAAATACAGAAAGAACTGCATGAAATGAAGGAACGGGAAAACGAACTCAGGTGTGAATTTCGATGACCGAACGCGCAGTGAGACATCTTTTAATCCTTTGTACTCGAGAGGCAACTTACAATTGCTATTTGATTTGACACAGTAAAAGTATAAAGTGATATTCAATATCAACGTTCATATACTGTAATTATCAATGAAACGTTTAACTCTCCACAGACATTATGATTTTTCACTAATGTAGCTCTCAATATGGATCTTTCATAGTTAGATTTGATTTTTCATTGCTGAGTTCTGTAAAAGTCTAAACAAAATTCTAAGATATATTTTATAATCTCCAATTTAATATACACACGACACTTTAGCTAAATTTTCACATGTTATTGAAATAAAAATTAAAATTCATAGTGAAGTCGTAAAGAAACGAAATTTTCGACAGGTCTTTAATGGTCCATAATAGCAATCGAGGGTTAAATAATTCTATCCCTTCATTTATATATTATTTATATTTATGTTAGTCATAAAAAATACTATTAACATTTTGTTAGAAAACGATGGATACATGTAGCGAAGAAACTTTCAAGTGCAAAGGGTTATATTACTACTTAAAGAGATGTTAAGGTCAATGCAATGTTTTTTAAATGGAATTACGTATTTTCATTAATGTCTGTTCATTCTATTTTTAAAGACAAATTCAAGGATGTGCACCTTTAATTAATAATGTATTGACTATTTTTATAAATATTCGTGAGAAACGTCGCCTTTAGTACATAGACCCCATTTTCATGTCCCACGAGTGTGTAAACAATTGAATATCGTCTCAATGTCGCTGACTGTACTAACAATAAGTTAAAATGTTCAATGATAGTACTGTATTGTTTATTATTTTACTTTACGAGTCTGAATAAGATTCCAGTTCTGCCTTCGAGATTATGAAATTTTTTTAAATTAGTTTGAAAAAGTAGCTAATTTAAAAAGGGATTACTTTGTATAATATTGGGTAGTATTAATTTTTCCGACTAAGAAACATTCAATATTAATTGCTGATGGTAAATCTCTTTTATTTTTATAATTTTGTTGGGTGTACTTCACTATCTATATCATTACTTCTAAGTATAGATACTTCAATCCTTCAAATAGCTCTTACAGTACTTTCTTTAAAAAGATTAATCTTATCTCTTTTAAAATTGTTGTAAGTCTTATAAGACAATTGTTTGAATTCCTTAAAATCAAGGGTCACTTAGCCCTTTTAAAAAATTCCAATACTTTTACTTTTACTGGCAAATGACATCCAGATCTAAAAACTAGAATAATATTTTTTACAAACAGCTTGAAAACACTGTTCTTGAACATATTATAAAAAATAAATTAGAGATCACGAACCGTTTTATATATACGTTTGGAATTTTTAATTTCTCAGTTTTACGAACTTACAAATCTACATCCAATATGCGAAGGAAATAATGATAACTTATCGTACTTGCATTTTACAGTCTTATTAATTCTGTCTAGTTCGAAAATATAGATTTCGTTTAACATTGCTGATATTTGCAAGTTAATTTGTCCCGTACTAACGTATCTACATTTAACGTTCTTCACGTTGATAGTCGTATTAATAGATGAACAGTAGATTTTTATGAATTTATGTATTATTTCTAAGTAATTAAAAAAATTGAAATTTATTAAATTGAAAAATGGGAAATCATACAGAATACAAAAAATACAAGAAAACACATAAAATGTCAGAAGTTTAGTGCTTGTTATAATGTTTGTTAAATAAAACCATTCTCTACCATTATTCTAATAGCAATACTCACACTGAAATTAATTACAATGAAACTAACAATAAAGTTCCATAATTTACAATTTTTAGATTAATGCGGTCGCAGATGCTAGCGAAGTCTCAGCCAAATCTGTTGGACATTGGAAACGACAATGATTCTGATATATACGATGGCTCGAGTTCATTAAGAAGTGGCACTTCGTCGAACACTTTAAACGAGGACGAAGTAGAAAAGGAAAGCAAAGGGAAACACAAGGTAGAGATATTTTCTAGTGAAGACATGACTAACATCGATCAGACGATTGTATTTATAACACGTCTATCTAATCTGCGAAGTTATCGAAGATTAATAAAAATTTGCCTTAGTTATCGCATCTCAATACCTAATTGAACCGTATTTATACAGGATGAATCACATCGTTTGAGTACTTTGACTAATTTCTAAACTATGCAATGTAAAATTCGAGTTTACACACGTGCAATTTCATGCAAATTTTTACTCACCTTCAGTACATTTTATTTCGTTGACGTTTCATGGACACCTTTCAGGGTCGTTTACTCAAAAACAAAGAACGTTTTCTTCGAATACCTTTTCTTTTGTATTAGATAGGCGTTGCTAAAATTAGAAATTAATTTGTAAATAATTGCTGATGCTTTACTTGTTAACCCTTTGCTATATAATATTGTGTTAGACTCGTGGCGAAGATTTCAAATCGAATTTGACAAATATAAATCTCATTTAATTACCTTAAGTCGAAATTAAATATCACTTTTAATAACATTAATATTAGTAATATTAATTGTGATGTTTTAACTATTTACCATTTTATAAACGTAGACATAGAATAAGCAAGGAATGTTTTTGTTTAAAGAATTATAAACAATAAAATAGTTCTGTTGAACGTAATTATAAAACGAATCATAATACAAAGGGTTTTAATGAAGAGTAAGAATTATCAGTGGAATATTCAATTCAATTTGACATCACGTGGCCCAGATGAATCGGAGATAAAATGGCCATTATTGCATTTCGTGAATTAGATATCGTGGAAAAGAATGTTTGAAATGAACATTTTTTCATGAAATACCGTCGAGTACTATTATTATACTGAAGAAATAAAAAATAATAAAAATACAATACATCCCATTACTATTATTTTCTGTAAAAAAGAAATCGTAAATTATCATCAGTAGTTCATGTTATATTTTATTAATATGAATTTAATTATTTACAGCCGAATCCACGACGTCGCAGCACCCTTATAGCACAATGGGAGAACCTGATAGCTGCAAAACGGCAAACCAACGATAATGGCAATGAAAATGATTTAAACTTCTGAATGATTTCTACGTTCCGTGGAAAAACGAGAAACCGACTCTACCCTCGCTTTTGTATTATTTCGTGTTTCGAATCATTTATAAAATAATTAAAACGGATGGCAAAAATATCGAAAAATGTGCTACGACAAACCTTTCATTCTTGAAACACGCATTTTCTTTGCGATGATACACATCATTGATCCTATTCACGTTTTCAATATATAAAATAATTTATTTAAGACTATAACGTATATTTATTCAAGAATGGAAGCATTACCTGATTCATCGTGTGTTATATTTAATTTTTTTTTCTTTTTTAAAGCTTTCAGTATTAAAAAATTAATTACAAACAAGCACTAATACATATCCATGTATGGGTAAAAATGTTATTCTTAAGTGTTACAAGCATATATTTGATATATCCGCTTGTTAATTGTAATATATCTCATTATATATTATATACATGCACATGGAAGTGACTGACAATTTTCAGGGGTCCCAATTTACATGTGGATGTGTATGTTTGATTTACTTGTATATGTGATAGTATAGTTCCAGTAATAATAATAAACAACAAATTTGTGCAATTTTTGTGGAATTAATAGAATTATGTCATAAAATTTGTCTTTTTCTTTTTTCCTCATAAAGCGCATTAAAACGAAGTGTTATGTATATAATTATAAATTCAATAAATCTAACGAAAGACACCTCCATTTTATTAAATTGATCAGCTTCCTTCTTGCTTCATTGTGTAATGTCTTCATTTTTGAATGAGAAATCTGTGTTTAACTCTTTGGTTTTGTATTGCACTTCGATAATAATCATTTATTATATTAACTAAGTAGTGGATTATTTCATTCTGTATTGTGTGTTACAAAAATGTCTCCTGCTTTTATTTTTATATAATCTCATCTCTTCTAGGTATTTTATTTGTGCGCCTTCATGCAAAGTCGTTTTTATTTTTGTGCATCATTCTTTATTCAATATTATTTAATCTCAGGGACATTTATTTTTGAAATCTTTGTAACGTTAATATATTATTTTATTTGAGACTCAGCTGTATATCATGTTGACTGCTGTGTCACCCATATTGGGGTGACGCTTATTGGACTACTTACGAAGGATCTTCGTAGGTATTTGAAAAGATATTTCACAGAGTGTAATAAAACTATTGAATTGTTATAAAAGTAATACAAAAAGGGTTTATTAAAAGAATTATTTAAAATGTAAAATTTTGAAACATTCTGTACAAGGCTGAGGTTAGTCAAGACAATTTAGACAAAAAGTTGTCTTCTTTAAATTCCCTCGTGCCTTTGATCGGTCTGTTTGACGTCTTTTGTCTGAATAACACAGTTTGCATGTGTGCCTTATGCTTGTTCCAAAATCATTTTTACAAACGACCATATTACACTGACTTCGTTGAAGACAAGGTTTTATTGTATTTTCAGGCAACCCTATTAATTCTCTAAATCTTCTAATATTTACATACTTCTTTGTTACAGTTTTGTAAACTATCAAAGCATTACTAAAATATCGGTGGGAGTACCAAGCAGAATACGCTTGGTAGAGTGGCGCGCCTGGCCTGAAGATTTCGTTGGAAACACGCGCGGCAGTTAACGTGATAAGTAGTAATTGTTCTCCCTTCACATAGGTGCAGGCGTACGTACAGTAGATGATGATTGGTCCTTATTATGATTTTATACACTTAATTTTTTGTTTTTACCTACTTAAAAAAGTTTTGAGGTTTTATAAATCATTAATGTGTTGTTTATAATGTGAAGCTTTCTATAATTCAGAGCAAAAAGTACTTAACAACCCTTCTACGTAATAAAGGTTCATCTGGTAAAACTAGACCTTAGACGCCGAAATAAGAGGTGGAATTTTCCAAGTTCTATATATAGTAATCGAGATAGACTCGAGTAGTAGCGGGAAAGCCTTGAAGTTCAGGGTCCCCTATCGGGAAGGTGAGAAGTGGACGCCTAACATTCATTTGCGGAAACTTTAGACAGCCAATTGAATTTGAATTTTTAAAAGTAAAGATAGTAACTATAACGTATACTTGATACTAATATATTATTATAGTATCTTAATTGTACATTACAAATTTCTTTTAAATATCACACGTCACTTGTGTATTTCTTAGTTACCGATCGACGAATGTAAATGATATATCTAGGCACGTTTTTCCACGTGGTTTTAAGTGACACTTAGAAACAATGGATAATTTAAATAGAAACAAAATGCAGCACGAAGAAGTTGAAATTCTATTATTAACAAATTTTATTCACAAGCAAGGTAAGTAAATTATTTAAAATTGTATAAACATGCTAATTTGATATGTTAGGTTATATTCTAACATTTGCTTACTTGAAAACTTTTCTCATTATAAATTGTTTTATTTTAGACTATGAACTGCCATTGCATGTAAAAAATGTAATGAACGGCCGATATGCTCATGTCGTAAATAATACATTAGATTCAAATTTTATTGAGTTATGCAGTATTAACAATATCTCCGAATTAATACATAATGGTATAGAAAAAGAAATAATCTCACATGATTACTGGCTTTGTATGGGTATAGCTTCTTTATTATATTTTGTCCAATATAATTGGACAGGCCCGCAAACCGATGAAGATATTAAGTGGTTAAAAAGTCAAGAACAAAATGCTCTAGAACATTTATCTTTACATGATGAATGTAACACAAATATGAAAAAGCCAGAGCTTCTTTACTTTTCGAAGATAATATTTTCCAATGAAATTTTACAAAATTCTTGTATAAGTTGTACATGGTGGTTATTAAGAACAAACCTTTTACATCAACTTGTTTTAAATGAAAGCTCTGGCATGATATTTGATGAGATGGAACAATTAATTGAAAAAATCAATGAATCATTTTTATTAGAGAATCAATACTGCAAAGCACTGTTTTATATAGAAGTAGCACAATTTTACTTTTATTATAAACGAACTCAGAATTCTGAAAAGTATGTTGAACTAGCTCAAAAGACAGCAAAATTGGATTTAAATCTGGAGGGTGTCTTAGGGAAACGCACAAAACATCAACAAGAAGATAAAGCTCAATTGCATTTAAGAATAGATGCAGGAACGAATCAATTTCCTTCCAGATGTTGCGAGAATTTACCAAAGTCTCTTGACTTGAATGATGACGTTAGACTAGAACGCACTGAATTTTCAGAAAATGTAGAAGGTACTGAATTTGGAACAATAGAAGAAGCAATCATTTTAGCAAAACAGTAAGAATATACCTTATTATTTTATCAGATAATAGTAGAACTATTTAGAAAATAGTTATAAAAGAGATATATGTTTTACAAATTTTACTTTGGGTAGTATTCAATTGCAGTTGTCACAGCCAAAGGACAAGTTAACTGATGAAGAGATTAAACCTTATCTAACAGTAAGTATTATTAGTATGAATGCTAATAAGTTCACCCTGTGAGTATCTAAAAACATTTATGTAACAGGCTATAATAGATCATACAAAAAATTGGTCTTTAAAAATGAGTTCTCTCTTCCATCGTTGTTCATTGGAATCTACTGATAAGAGGGCTGTTGAACGATCGATGATGCAATTAGAATACTTGATACAAGAATTAAAAAATACAATAGTTCCTGTTGCATATAGAATGGATATGTTCTTTGCAAGTGGACTTAGACCTATTTGGATGTTTGAACAAACATGGGCACATATCATGATGAATCTTGGGATGATAAAAGGAGCTCTAGATGTTTTCTTAAAGCTTGAATTATGGGAAGAAGTCATTTCATGTTACAATATGTTGGAATTGAAGCATAAAGTATATTTAAACAATTTTTTAATATTATACTTATTTATATTCCATTTTACAAATGTGTTTCGAATATTTCTAGGCAGCAGAAGTTATTCGTCAAGAAATATCTAAGAAACCCACAGTTCAATTATGGTGTTTGTTGGGTGATGCAACTCAAGACACTAATCATTACGAAACAGCATGGAAATTATCAAACGAAAAAAGTAGTCGCACTCAAAGACACTGGGGACTATTTTATTTTGCAAAAAAAGATGTTGGTTTACAAATAATCATTGTAAAAACTAAACTTTGATGTATAACACATACATAGACATTTTTAATTTTTAGTACATGGAGGCTATACCACATTTAAAATTATCAGTAGAATTAAATAACATTCAAGAAAGTGTTTGGATAAGGCTTGGATTTGCAGCTTTACAAGTAGAAGATTGGAAATTAGCAGCCACAGCATACAGGCGTTACTGTGCTTTAGAACAATCAGTTTGTATTACTTAATTGTATTTGTAAAGTGTTGATTAAGTATCATGTATTTACATATTCTACACATTGATTACAGACATTTGAGGCTTGGAACAACTTGGCAAAAGCTTACATAAAATTAGGCGATAAAGGAAGAGCGTGGAAATCTCTCCAGGATGCTATAAAATGCAACTATGACCGTTGGCAAGTTTGGGATAATCTAATGGTCGTTAGTATAGACTTAGGGCATTTCTCAGAAGTATGTACACAACAGATAATACTAGAGGAATTACTCTAAAGTTTATGTCAACATCAATTTATAACTTTTGCAGGTAATTCATTGTTATCACCGTATTTTGGATCTCAAAAATAATCATTTAGATATTCAAGTCCTTGATATATTAACTCGCGCTATATTGAATAATGTAAATGACTTTGATGGAAATCCTGCGCAAAGATTGCTTTCAAAAGCTTTAGAGTTGTTTGGAAGAATTAGTTCTCTTTTACTCAATAATTCCCACATCTGGAGAATGTATGGACAGCTTACAGCTCTTAAAAACACAGATATTGACAATGAAAAAGCAGCACAGTACTTGCAGCAAGCTCATCGTGCTGCTGTTTCAGATACCACATGGTTTAAACAAGAAGAATCTACGGAGAATGTACTGCAATTATGTTGTCTATTAGCAGAAATGTATCTACGTTGTGCTTCCAATTGTGATGTTAAGAAAAAACGCACATTGTTAGCAAGTGCAAAACTATCTCTTCAAGGAGTTGTAAAAAAAGTTAAAGATCATGATTGGAAAAATGAGAAAATTCAAACATATTTACAAGAGAGCGAAGAATCTTTAAATACAATAGTAAATGAACTAGAACAAATAAAATTAACAACTTAGATAAGTTATTTAAATTTTATACATTTATTGCTTATACGTATATGTTTTACAAAATTTATACCAACGTTTTTAAATATTATTGTATATATGTAATTGAAAATATTATTCCACAATTAAGATGCAATAAATGCATCTATAAGGAAAAAGGATCTTATAGTTAAGGTATTTTAAAAATGAGATATAAATCTTCATCTTTATAGTTAAGTAGTCAAGTAAAATATACTAATAAAGAACCGAAATAGGTTAAGAACCATTCAAACTGCGGGTAGTATCATGCTGCCCTCTACGATATGAAGAATCGTCCCTCACCAACATGTTTTGTGCATTTGTAGTGGTGGAACGCTATTTCTGAGCTATTTTTCCATTTTCGCAAAATGGAAGTTGTGCGGCAAAAACGTGCCGCAATAAAAGGCCAAATAATTGGCCTTTATAAGGCTGGTTTTCCCAGCACAAATATCGCGACTATTATGAAGTGCAGTGAAAGAACTGTCAGAAAATACATAAAAAGTTACCGTGAAAAAGGCGAAGAGGGCCTTGTAGATAGGCGACTTTATAATGCAGGAAGGGCGCGTAAAACTACAACTCAAGAAGATCATGCTATAATTAGAGAAATGAATCAAAATCCTTCTCAAAGTGCATCGAGCGTTGCAGCAAATCTTGATTTGCAAGTGTGTCCAAGTACCGTGCGTAGTCGATTACGGGAGGCTGGATTCCCTTTTGGTCGACCTCCACGTAAAATACGTATACAGGTAGGTTCAAAAAAACTTACCAACTTCACCATAGATACATGAAAGTGCTTAGGCATGTCCTGCTTCTCAATTGGATAAATATAATTGATGGTGTTCCTAGGAACTCTTATGCATCTGTGGTAGTTTGGCCAAGTTTTTTTGAATTGATGTATATTGCCGGTAAAGATTACCGACCGAGCAACGCACGTGTTACCACTTTGACTCGCTGATCAGGCTTGAAAGCAGCGACTTTCACACGGATACGTTTTATGTAATCGTAGTGGTGGAACGGTATTTCTAAGCAAAGGGCAATCTTCATCGAACGATTCTACAACTTGTAAATTTCCGTTCTGATAAATTTAGATAATATAATTTTTTCTTATCGCAAGATACTATCTTTTATCTATAGTTTTTAAACAAACAAAAATCTGTAAAATTAAGAATCTGTACCTTTTTTATTTTTATTTATTTTTATACATATATTATCAACATTTGACATCCAAATTGATGTTTTATCTGACAGTCTTGTGTAACCTTCACTCTTCCTATAGTTGATTCGTAATAGCAAAGTCTGGGTATAAATGACAGACGACCAATACAGTATTCTTCATTTATAATTTCAACCGGAAAGAGGGAACCCGAATCGATTTAACGAAGCAAAATTATTATTGACTACAAAGAACTCAAGAAGGTGTAAAGATTAAGCGTACTTTCTCTAAATATTTAAAAAGAGTAACACACGGTTGGTACTTTATACCGCAATTATTCTAGTATCGAAAAATATTTAATTACATAGTACATTAAGAAAAACACCGTCAATTTTTACTTATTTTGATCCGTTAATATATATTATATTTATATTATATGCTTATATCTTTTTCTTTAGTATTGAAACAGGATATATCAGTAGTTTTTTTTTGTAAATTAAGTTGAAAGTTAATAATTTAAAAAAGTGTTATATCTTTTTTCAGATGGCTTTCTCAGGAAAAGTTGTGTTAATAACAGGAGCTAGCTCTGGTATTGGAGCAGCAGCAGCTGTACATTTCTCTCAGCTTGGAGCATCACTGTTGTTAACAGGTCGTAATTTAGAAAATTTAAATGCGGTTGCTGAAAAATGCAAACCGAACAAACCACTTATTGTAACTGGAGAATTAACTAACGAAGTTGATGTAAAAAATATTATTGAAGCTACTATTAAGCATTACGGCAGATTAGATGTTTTGGTTAATAATGCTGGTGTATTAGAAAGTGGAGGCATAGAAAATACATCATTAGAGCAATACGATAGGTATAAATGAAACATCTATAAATATTAAATTATGTAAGAAAAGAGAAATATTAAAATGTATAACCTTACAGGGTATTCAATATAAATGTACGATCAATATACAATTTAACAATGTTAGCTGTTCCTCACATAATTAAAACTAAGGGTAATATTGTAAATATATCAAGTGTTTGTGGGTTAAGAGGATTCCCAGGTGTTTTATCGTATTGTATGAGTAAAGCAGCAATTGATCAGTTCACAAAATGTGTTGCCCTTGAACTTGCAGATAAACAAGTACGTATTATATGTATAATATACAGATACAATTATAAAGAATATTGGTGTTTTCATTTGAGTTTCATCAATTTTTTTATGTATAGGTACGAGTGAATGCTGTAAATCCTGGTGTTGTAGTAACAAATCTTCATAGAAGAAGTGGAATGAAAGAGGAACAATTAGAGACATTTTTTGACCACAGTAAAGACACTCATCCACTGGGTAGACCAGGAGATGTTACAGAAGTTGCAAAAACAATCGCATTTCTAGCAAGTGATGATGCTAGTTTCATTACAGGTGCAACTTTACCCGTAGATGGTGGAAGACACGCCATGTGTCCTCGTTAATTTGCATTCCATCAAAATGTATTTTGAACATATTAATTCTAAGATCAACACACTTATAAAATTTCTAAGACACTATATTTTTACTAAGAAAAATTGTTATATATAACAAAGTTATCATGTGTCAATAAATGTATAAATTATTCACGTGTTATGTGTTACTTATTAAATTTGTATTCTTTACTACTTATGATATGCATCTGAAAAAAATCAGGATTTTAATTATTAATTAATTTAAATGTTTGTTTTATTTTTAAAAATTAAATTAATATTAAAAATTGTATCATTTGTTAAAGTCTATTCTTCTAAAATGAATTTAAAATTAATACAATTATTTAAAACATAAATATAATAAAAATTTTATTAGAAATAAAAAGAAGTAATAAATGTAACTGTATAAGAGACATAGAATATTGTTATAAATTTATTACAATCGAGTTTATTCTAAAATAGGACACAAATAAAATAAAAATTAAAAGATAATAACCTTTAACATGGATACATTTCATACGTAAATACACTTTAACAGTATGACAAGGATTGATTGATTTATTTATGCCACGTCACATTTTGAACATTTTATCTTCTTCTAACACTATATAAAATGAAGTACATAACAATCTTACGTCGACAGTTAAAAGCTAGACGTGATAGTGAGAAACATCATGGGTACCAAAAACTTCCCGTATTTTTTATCTAGTTTAGTGGTAAGAGGTTTCGGTAGAGGTTCCAAAGCTTTAGGTATACCAACGGGTAGGTTTAGAAATTTAAATTATATTCATTAATTCATGAAGTACAGCAATTAATGAAAAATTTAAGTTGTTCCGAAAAACGTCTTTCGCCGGTCAATATGAAGTTTTTAAGAAATAGACACGAAGAAAAGAGGATCCAAAATATACAATTTTAGTTTCGAGCATTTATTAATTTCTAGGATATTAACGAAAAACTTTTACACAGTATATTCAGTAAAACTTGTACAATAAAATTCTGTCTATAGAAACATGATGTATACATCCCTTCCATCATCTTAAAATTTTATATTAATCGACAAAAGGCGCTTTACGGAACAATACCTACAATTTAAAATTGATTTAATATTCCAAAAGATAGTACAGGAATCTTGTATATAACTAACGTAATCATTTTAGTGTGTAGATGGCGGGAAAATATAAAAAGTAATATTGTTCTGTATCGTTCATTTATCATATAGTATTTCACAATTTTCTAAAATGAAAGTTTTTGCAATTAAAGTATTTCGTAACAAAATTTAATAATATACATCGTAGATAAAAGGAACGGTATATTTTTTAATACAAATAATAGTAACGTATGAATTTGTTTAAAAATGCAATGAATAATTACATAACAACATCATTGTTTGTAGCAAATCTCGAAGATAAGGTTGTTGATTCTTTACCTAGCGATCTTAACACTGGAGTCTATTTCGGATGGGCTTCTATAGACGGAAAAATTTATAAAATGGTTGCAAGTATTGGATGGAATCCATTTTACAAAAATGAAAAGAAGACAGTGGTAGGAATTTGGAAAAATACAATAAACTAATAATTATTTAAATATTAAATAATTTTAACATTACATAGAAAATATTTTTATAGGAAGTTCACCTACTTCATAAATTCGAAAATGACTTTTATGGGAAACAAATTAAAGTAATTTTCGCGGGTTATATACGACCAGAACAGGATTTCACTTCCGAAGGTTAATTTACTATTTATCTTTTATCTCTATAAATGTTATTAATGAAATTTTATGTTCAATAATGTCTGCTTTTATTATTTCAGGGGAATTGATTAAAGCAATAAATAATGATATTAGTGTAGCTGAAGAACAGTTGCAACAACCACATATAAATGCTTATAAAGAGGACAAATTTTTGAAGGAATAATTTACAAATTATGTTATATATAAGTTGCTTTCACAAGTTAAATTTATATTTTAGAACTTTAAAATATCCTTGTCTTTAATAATAATTCTTCATAAATTAGAGAATATTGTATTAAATAAATCTTATTATATTTCAAATATTCTATCAATTAGGAATGTACAGGCAATTTATATAATGTACACATTTTTAATTAATATTTTGATATACATGTAGTTCTTTGTATTGTATTTATAATATAGTATTTGTACATTAAAATATACATTGTAAAAGTGTATCCTAAATAAAGATACCAAATTATTTTCTTACATGTATTTTTGTGATAGAATTAGTAACATTGAAAATTTTTAATTTGTTCCTGGTGATGAAGGCGGTGAAGATGGAGGGGGTGGAGGTGGCGGCGGTGGTGGTAAAGATATCCATGGTGCATTTACAGTTTCCGAATTTTGTGACATTTGCGGTTGCCAAGTCATATTGGGATTTCGAAATCTTAAATTTGGAGATGAATTTGATTGATTTTGGAAAAGTAAATGTTCTTGATGAACTCTTGGAGATGTGTTGTAAGGAATTCTGGGATTTAAGGGTACTGTTGTTCCATCTTCGTTATAATAGTTATGTGAACTATAAAAGTTCTGATTTACATTATTCATAGTAGAGTTTACATATTGCATTGACTGCAATAGAGATGGATACATCCCATATCCATATGATTCACCACTATCTGGACGTAAAGTTCCTGGTGCGTTTGGCCAATTACTTTGACCAAGTACCCACAAATTCGGTAATTGATTCCCACCTTGCGCAGAAGAAAACTGTCTCGGATCTCCTCGTGGATAATATCCTTTTCTATTTTTTTGCTTATTTCTGTTCCAAGGATGATTTGATTGCCAACTAGAGTTTGGACCTAAAAGTATCAGAATTATTTATATTAATTAATCAATAATATTGTATAAAAGAACTTACTTGAAGCACGTTTTCGTTTAAATGGTACATCTTCATTCATCATAGAAGCTTGTTTCGCTTGTTTTAATTTTTCATAATAAGCTCGTTCTTCCTCGTCATCAGAAAATTCTGGAGGTTCATCTGCATTTGCATCTATGCCTTTAATTCTAAAGTAGTTATATACACATTATTAAGTATTACACAATATTATTAAATAAAGCCATTAACTATTTAAATGGAATAACATAATTATGTGTGGTCTTACTTCATTAACTCATGTAGAAATACTAAAGATGTATACTCTGTATTTGGACAGTAGTAAACAGTCATTCCTATTTTAATATCACATTCTTGAATATGTTTCGAACTATTGAACCTTACACAGTAATGTGGTTCTTTCACTTGTCCAAAAACATCAAATATTTTACCTAACGCCCTTTTCCCTTTATCAACAAATAAAATTGTATCTAAATTTAATGTGGGTTTACCGGGCTTGGGTTGAACAACTACTAATTGTTCTACCATCCATGCAACCTAAAATATTTTATTCCACACATTATATTAATTTATATCAAATACAGCATTGAAAAATAAATTTAAAATTTAAATACTTCTCCAAACGGATCACATAGTACTTCAGGCACACTAATTTTTAAATCTTCAATAGGTGGTAAATCATCTAATTCACTTTTCATTTCATTATTTTTTTGCTCCTTTGCGTTGCGTCCTTTATTTCGTCTGAAAACATAAAACTTAAATATAATCTCAAATTTCGTAGACGTTGAATCAAAAAAATTTAATAATTTACTTATTTGTGCTATCATCGCTATCTGAGTCATTTGATTCAATAATCACTAAACAATCTGTATTGCTACTAGAATCATCATCGCTTTCTTCGCTAGATGATTCATTATTAATAATTCTATAAGGTTGCGTCTGCATTTCTTTTGCGACAGTAGTTATATCATTCTTTTGTTTGTTAAGATCTAAAGTACTTTCTGTTTCTGAATCAGAATTCTCATATTCAATAGCTATACTCGTAAGGGAAGATAGTTTATCATTTCCTGTCAAAAGAGAATAGTAAATTTCAATAATCTTTTAATTAAAAATTGTAGACATAATATGTATAATAAATATATTTTATACCATTACTTTTCTCATGTATAACAGAAATGTCAACATTTTTTTGTTTCAAATTTTCAATTGCGAGATTATTTGTAACTTCTTTGTTGTTGTCACTGTTGTTAGTTCGTTCATTATTATTTACACTTAGTTTATTAAACGATTCTTTTTGTTGATTATTTGTATCATCTTTATCATTGTAACCGCAATGTTGTGCGGTCACATTTTTTTCAATTAAAGACATTTCACAATTGTTTGTAATTTGATCTGTTTTAAAAGCATTATTTTTTATTTCCCCGCTTTGTGACGTTAATACATTTTCAATAATAAGCGAGGCGCTATTGTTTTCTTCATTATTTAACACTTGTTCATTGGATTTATTGCATGAGTCTTTTGCAATTTTTTCTGTTATAACCTCATCTGTTTCCATTGTAATTTTTACGGATTTCTTCGATAAATGAGATTGTTCAATAATAACACTTATTATATGTAATTTTCATTTTGAAATAAACGAATACCATTAGTAATTGTAAAATAAAATATTTTTCTTATACGTAATTTCGTGTAGAATAGATAAACATTTCCCAATGCTAGCACGTGTATCACCGGGTGTCGATTGAATTCTATCAATACGCATGCGTAGACGATATCGTACCGTTTCCTTAACACTTTTATACATTTATTTTTTTCAAATATTATAAAATTATTTTTTAGAATTGCTAATGATAACAACACTTGTAAATAATAACACTTCGCATAATGAAAACAAATCGATATTTATTTAAATTTTTAGTTGAAAAAATTGTAGTCACTTCATTCCATATTAGTAAAACAACATATCTTCATTTTCTGCAAAATTTAATGCAGTACTTGTGTTAAAACAATTAAAATTTTGTTTTAGTCTTTTGTTACTACATGTACAATGGTTTGTATAATTTTTCTTCCATTTTGATGATTTAAAAGATTTAAAAGTGGATCCTTCATTTTTTCTTCCAATAATTTCACTAATTCTTTCCTCATTCGTTGTAAAAGTTGACCAACCTAAACAATATTTACACAGTTTCGAAATTGCAGTCTTCTTTTTATAAATATTTAGAAACTATTGATAATCTTACCTTATGCGACTCAACACTGAACAAAATCCAACCATCTTCTAACGATACAATAGATAATCCATTATGTAGTTCTATGTTCAAATCATAACCAGAAAATAAAATCAATAATAAAATTGGCACCATCGTGACTTCTTTGATAAATACTTTACTCGTTTTAATTTTTTCTTGAAATACTAAATATGGACTGGGGAAATAACCAACGTGGAAGTTAACGGACGACGGATGGATACTAACGAAGCCATCACATTTTGTTTGGAATTTCAATTCCTCTGGCTTAGGTTGCATTGGAATTGCTCCAGCAGATTGTACTTGAAAGGACTTTTCTGGTGTAAAAACTTTTACAACATTAGGATAAAGAGCAGCGCAAATCAAGCCTTGGAGAAGTTTGTAATTATCATTATTGACATTCAGTTCAAATCCAGTTATTTCTAGGACTCTATCAACATTTGGTTGTCGTTTAGGTAAATTAGTGGGAACGAAACCAATTGATACTAATAATTCTAAAAATTGGTATTTTATGTCTGCTAAAGTGCACAATGTGCGCACAGATAAGTAGTTTTCATTGGCAAAAACTTGTCCTGCAATGTTACTATGAGCACATGCTTCCAACCATTTCTATTAAATAAAAAGAAAAAAATGTAAATATTTTGTTCATATTACTATCCATTTAATACTAAACGTACCACAAACAGTCAAATGACCGATTTTCAAATTTGATTTAAAATTCTCCGTATTTCTTCGTTCATTTAACATTCAATTTAACTTCTATATTGTCTGATTAATTATAGTTTTTCAATTTTTGTCTTTCCTTTTGTTTCTATTTCTGATAAGAAATATTTATCGTTTAACTTGTTTACTTTTATTTTATAACTAGTTATTCGATTAGTTATGGTGGGTATATGTACAAACTGTCGGTACGTTTAGTGTTAAATTACACCTTTTATTATATTATCAATATTTATTTGAATATTTACCTTGTACACTTTAAGAACAGTTAAGTGATCAGAATTGGCTGTACAAAATTCTTTTTTGGCATCTACTTCGTGCCGCCTTTCAAAAGGTACAGTGAATGGAGTTTTATGAGACAAACAAGCTGCAATGGTAAGCGCAGAATCAAGGCAACAAAAGATTGCTCCAAACAATATTAGTTTTCCAATTCGAACATCTACAGGCAGTGCAGCGAGATGATGGCCCAAAGGAGTTAATGTACATTCAGAATTAAATGCTCCAACATCTTGTAAACGTTTGATAGCGCTATGAACATTTGAAACTGATGGCGGTTCTAAAAGTTTGTCTAAAAGGACATTGTAATTTTCATGTTGAGATCTGTGTAAAGAGAACATGGAATAGATAAACCTAGTACTATTACCTAAAACTTTATGCGAATCTATTTCCATGCCTTTATGTAATATTTGAATACGTAAAAGTAAGGGTTCTAAAGGTATTCTTAATATTTCAGGCACTGGTTGTGCTGAAAAATGATATTTAAATCTAGAAAAATAAAATGTATTAGATTTTTATTATTACAGTCTGCAAGATATTAATTAAAATGAAAACAATTATACATACTTATATGAAGTGTATAAATGAATGCATACTCCTGCCATTACACGTCCAGCACGACCTTTCCTCTGCAATGCATTTGCTTGTGATACCCAACATGTTTCCAAACTTTCCATATTTTGATTAGAATTAAATCTAGTTTCTTTCATTTTTCCACTATCAATCACAAAAACACAATCGTCTATAGTGATAGATGTTTCTGCTAAATTGGTGCTTAGCACAATTTTTCGAATGTCTCCAGTTTTTTTAAACACCAAATTCTGCTCTTCGCTAGATAAACTTGAATGTAATGGGACAACAATAAATTTTCCAGTCCTTGGCGAAAGATTCTTATTATCGTTCAACTGATTTTTTAATGTAATAATTTCAGCAAATCCTGGTAAAAATACCTGAAATTTAAGTACCAAATAGAGTTATACAATTTACATATTTTCACAAAGTGATAAAATATACTAACTAAAATAGATCCTGTTCTCGGATAGTCATGAGATCCAAATGCAATCCATTCTAATATTGTTTCTATAAGATCGAAATTAATTTTATCATGATCCATAACATACAAGTTTTTATGCGTTTGTTTACTATAATCATGATATCTACTGACAATTTGCATTAATGTTAAATTCTCATCCTGAATTGATTCTCTAACTGCAGCAGCGGAAACACCTTCAACTTCTGCAGTTTCAAGGTCTATTTGTAACTGTTCCCAGTCACCTCTAATCTTGCGCGTAAATTTCGAATTTTCTTCGAGTATATAATTTGTCCATTCAAATATATCTTCCAAAAAGATTTGCTCTACAGGGAACGTTTTTCCTGGAATATATAAAATAGGAGCTTCTCTAAAGTATGAGGAAAAGGCCTCTGCTTTAAGTGTTGCACTCATAAGTATTATTTTCAGGTTTGATCTTTTACATAATAATTCCTTTAGGAGCATCAATAGGAAGTCACTAGACGAAAAATTGTAATGTTTAAATAAGATAAACAAATTAACAGAATAATTAACTAACCTCTCTGCGCTTCTTTCATGGACTTCATCAACAATGACATGAGTCACATCCGTCAACTCTGGATTCATAGAAAATCTTTGTAGTAAAATTCCAGTTGTGCAAAATGTTAATCTAGTTTTGTTAGACATTTTACTTTCCAATCGTATTTGGTATCCCACTGTGTCACCTACACGTTCATCTCTTTCTGATGCAACTCTTTCTGCTACTCCTACTGCACTAATTCTTCGAGGTTGTGTACATATTATATTAATATGTTCTTTTGATTTGGATTTATTAAGCATCCAATCATCCAATAAAAATTGTGGCACCTAAAATATGATTAATATAAAAAAACAGTTTTAAATTAAAACGTATTACAAATATTTTTAATTACCTGTGTACTTTTACCACATCCTGTTTCACCTGAAATTATGGTAACTTGATGTTCATGTATTGTTTCTAAAATATTATCCATCTTAGACCATGCTGGCAGTTTTCTTCTAATTTCTTTCATTCTTTTATACTTATGATTTTCTTGTTTTTCTTTGAAATTTTCACGAATCAGGTCATTCGTTTTTAATATCTCCTCCGATGTAATTTTGTTTCTATTCCTCCTATTAATAGATCCCAATTCATGATGTGTAGCACGATTTTCATCTTCAGTTTCTAATAATTTTGGAAAGAGCAGATCATTTTGATCTAGAAATTGTTCTCTATTTTCTGCTAAATATGTTTTCATATCATATTCATTTTGCAAAAGAGATATTATAGAAAAAATAGATGGAACTCCATCTTCAGCTAACGATAATGCTTCGTTATACAATCTTCTACTTATTCTTAAACAATGTATACTTGAAAAAGTACCATTATTTTTATAAAAGTAGAAAAATGGCGGTTCGTACGGGTATTTACAACCTAATGAAATGTAAAAATACAGTACCTTTTAACAGTAGAACGTTACACAAATTTTATATTTCAATCACATGATTTATTTGAGTTCATGTAATACCTTCAGGAAATCTTATTTCTAACGTAAACTGTGGATCCTCTCTCTCAGGTATTTTGAGTACTTGCGGTTGTTGATGTAAAAATCTGCACTTATTTCCAAATCTACATTTCTTATGAATAAATAATCTGCAAACTTCTTTTTCTTTTGCTTTCTCCTGTTGTAGTTTTATCTTTCTTATTTCTTGTTCTACTTCGTCATTTCTTACTAAATATTCAAGATTAACTTGTACAGTCCAGATTTGGTTTTTTATTTTTTCTATAAACATATTTTCATAAATAGATTCAAGTGCCTCTTTTTCGTCTTGTCGCCTTTCTAGAAAATCTGTTGTATCAACACCATTAGACACTTTATTTTTTAAATTTTCAACATTATAGTACTTAAAGAATAATATTTCCAATGCTTTCCCCATATCTCCTTCTGTATGTATTAATGCTTCGATACAATGTGATTGATGAAACCTAAAAATAATATGATTGATTATAATTTGTATTAACACTATTCGATACTTTAATTTATACTTTTAATATTTACCCATAACTTTCCAACTTAGCTATTGCAAATTGTCTAGTAATTTGTTCTTCAGTTTTAGGTGTAATATCTTTAGAAGAATAATCTACTATTCCTTTAATAACTAAGTTACCCCTTTCCACCCAATACTGTTTGTCCAAATTTGATTTTTTATTTTCAAATTCTGATATATCAGAAAGCTTGAAACTCTGTTAAAAATTCATATTATAAAATTCCAATACATCTTATAAAATAAAACATAATGTACTAAATTGATAAAAATATCTGTTTTACATACAGGCCCATAAATATGTTTTAAAGTATCATAAAGTTGTCGTTCAGATTCTTCAGATATTCTTAACATTTGTAACTCGACTTTAAGTTTGCTAGAGATACAAGGATTTTCATTTTTACACTTATTCTTGTTCAACACATTCCTATTAAAAAATGAATTTATTTCTTTTAAATCATATTATAAAATCAATATTATGCGCATAATTATATAACAATCAATAAAAACTACTAGCCTTTATTTTGCGTTACATTTTTGTTTTAATGTATAGACGGTTATGTATTAACTTACGTGATATTTTTTCCATTACTTTTTCCATCTAATGTAACATCTTCCATCAATTGAATACTATTATGGTCCATCGTTGAAAATAAAAAATACTAATTTTTCCTATAAATCAGTTTAAAAAATATTTTTACTTATTCTTCCCGAAAGATAGAGGTTAAAAGTTACATACACGTAACGTGTCTCTGAGTGACAGATGAAAATTTATGAACTAGTAGAAGGCTAAAACTCTAATACAAATTAGTTCTAATAGTAAATAGAAGTTTTCATTACTCTGTAGTTTCACGAATAAATTATTTAGAAATAAATAACAAGTAAAAAATGAATACAAACCTATTCGTAAACAAATTATTTTAAACAATTTGTTTTAATGTTTATAGTTGTTTCTAGGATATTCAAAATCGATGACCCTTTCTACCTTTTTTTTTATGTAGAGTTCTTGTATTACAAAAACTTCAATAATAATAGTAATATATAAATATACATAAGTATATATAAATTTAATTATATGCTTAAGCTTTATCTGCCCACATTTTACATATCCACATTTTTTCTGATTTATTAAATACAACTAAAAACAAAATGCGTAAGATTTACAGAATACGTAAAATCAAGAGATCAGTCGAACACATAGCATGAATCAATATTTGTAAAAAAGAATATAACAATTTTGAGGAAACATAATTTTTTATTTATATATAGTTTGATAATTCGTAACTGATGAATAATAGACAATTTCATTGATTTAATAGTCAGTTCAAATTTCTTCTTATGATTATACATACATCGCCATCTGCAGGTAACTAGCAAAATCAGTTAGTGGTTTAAAATGGTAAACCTAAGTAACTTTAATAATATTAATATATCGATATTAATTAAGTAAATATAAATAAGATTAAATTAAATTTTAATATATTAACCCAGGTGTATTTCCTAAGTCCTATCAAATTCGACTGGGTTGAAATTATGCATACAGCTTTCTTTTAGATAGAAACGATGTTTATGAGAAAAATTGTTGACAACTCGAAAGCAAAGCTTGAAACGAACTCGAAAATAAAGATTGAAACAATTATTAAGAATTGATATTTAGGTTCGTCAGAATACCGTGGATTTTTGTATGTAAAACCCTGTAAATCAAAAACAAACTAAAATGTGCATAATTTAGTCAGTTACATATTTATTTCAATTCATTTATTTCAGTGTAAAATAAAAGTAAAATGTCTCTGATTTACACGATATCATTTTTACATGGTTTTCAAAATAACAGATTTAAGAAAATATTATTAAAAATAAACATTTTTGCTGCGCACATATTTTTATAGTAAATTTTTTATTCCATTCGATTGGTAACGCTGGCATTGAATCGGAAAAGGGAATTCCCCTTTTTATATACACTAGAAGTGTTTAACTTATTTCCTTCATGCTAGTAACTTGAAAACAGTGTTTCCCCACTACCTCTACTCAAGTACTCCCCGAGACTATATATGTGAGCAGTTCTTTGAGTCCAGTACAACAGGTAAAAGTGTGTGTGGAAAGTATAACTTTTCGTGAGGTGAGTGTCACTAGAGTACCCGTGGGCATCGATTTAAACACTCTTGATGTAAATAAAGTACCGTTTAAATTGGGAGATAGGTGTAACTGTTATAAGAACCCAACATTTCCATTTACATCGATTTCGATTACGATATTTTATATATAGAATCCTTATAACGGTTATTTTTTCGGTCCTAAATCAACATTCATATAGTTCCTAGGACCGTTCATAGTTTATAATATCTCGTATTTCTGGTCTATACTTTTACAATTTTCTTGTTATGATTAGGAATACGTCAACAAATTGCTTTTATGCGAAAGTAGGATGATATTAAATATTAATGTAATATAAATAATTATTTAGATAAGATTATATTAATATAGACAGTACATTAAAAGTAAATTAAATTTAATTCACATATAATTTATAGCATGCAAAATAGGAATAAAAATTATTCGAAAATAATATCATTTTAATTGTATATTGATAAACAATTGTATATTAGTCACATTAAAAAAATTCAAAGCTTTTGCGATTTCAATAATTTAGCGACTACATTGATATAAATATAGGAAAATGAACCTGGAAACAATTTGTAAATCGATATGAGGACCGAAAAAATAACAGTTCAAGACAAATATGAGGATTGATATATAAACATATATATAAAATATATTAAAAAAACCGTTATCGAAACGAATATAAACAGAAATATTGAGTCTTTATAATAATTATTACAAATGTTGATTTTTCAAAACTGTTTTAAGGACTGACATCGTTGGAATACTGTTTTCAAATCCTGTTTGAAAGTTAACCCTTAACGGTCGACAATTTTTTTATTAATTCTTTGCGGACGAAACTATCTTAAACTTCTAACATTTCTTTTCATAAAAAACTGAATTATGCATCGAAGCTTTAGATACCAAAAGAAAAAAAGCCATATATCAGTCTCTTATTAGTTGAATAATTAAATTATTCATATTGTAGGATTTTTAATGTGTGTACTGTGTAGGAGAGGTGTAATAAGCAATACTCTCTGGGTTTTAATACACTTTTAATACTTCTTGACTCTTCCAACGCTTGTTTCAGACTGCCCCATTTTCGCTGCCTTCACGCATTTATTTCATTCCCAATTACTCTATCTTTCTCTTGCACTCAGCCTCTCACTCACACAGTCTTTAACATTCGATCCCCAAAACACTTTTCATTCGTACCTCGATCTCTCAAGCTCTGTCACTCGGTCCTTAACATTCTTCTCAGTCACTCTCGCATGCCCTACACTCCTATCGCTTGGTTATAAACATTCTTCATTTACACCTTAATCTCTCGCATACCTACAATATGATATTACTGCGACATTCGACCATAAGGGGTTAACCACTTTATCCACCGGAAGCTTTTCGGTTACTTATCAACCGTTAATTTTCTAAAACTATGCTGCTCTAACTCTTTCTCCTATAACATTGTGTCAGACCGGTGATACAAATTTTAAACTGAATTCGGCAAAGCCAGTGGTCATTTACTTCTTTTAAATATAAATTAAATATTACTTTTATATTATCAATCGTTAGTCTTTAACTCCCCAAGGCTCAACAATAGAAAATTTAAAATACAATGATGTGGGATTGAAATGATATTTTTAAATGATGTTACATAAAATTTTAAATAATTTATCTCAGATTTAAACAGTTTACTTATATGATAATAGCGCATAGGACAAAAGCTTAATATTTCATGGAAAAATTTCTCTGCATGTACGTGTTAAAGTAAATATGGTAGTAGGGTGATTAACAAATTTCTTTTTTCTATTAAATTATTAATGAAATAGAGAAAGTAGCTTTACCAAGCACAACCGTGATAAAAATCATAAGGCAAGGATATAATGAGTGTTCCTTTATACTTTGTTTGAACAAATATTTATATTTATATTTATAAATTGAAAAACATGGTCGCGCTTCCTTCGTTTCAACTCAGAAACTAAATTACGCTTTTCTATTTTCGCGTAAAAAAATTCGAAATAGTGCGATCGATCCATTTTTCTATTTTTAAGCAGTTAGTAACAAAGATAAAAATAAATAATTAAAAAGAAAACAAATAAATAAACTGAATTTAATCCTACAAACCGATAAGCTGGTACTTTTAAGTGGTGTAACGGAGAACCGTGATCGCGCTGCTTGGCACTCAAACGGTTAAATAAAATTTTCTTAAAAACCGTTTCACCGTTATAGTATCACTCCCTACGTTATAGAATAGGACAAGCATAGTTTTATGGTGTGTATGGCAACAGCTACTTCTAAAAACGCTTGAAAGCCTTGTAAGTTGCAAGTAACGGATAAAGGTGTCTGAAATTAGTTGGTTCAACATTTTTCCTCGCGTTTGTTTTCCAGATGTGCCAATCGTGACACTTAATTTTATTTTAATGGACGCACTATAAACCAGCGACAGGTATTAGCAAGTCCATGTCCTTAGGATATAAACCCAAGTTACCCTGTGGTATTGTCTGTTTATCACTTAATGACTAATGTAACGACACAGGGACAAGAGGGTTCTCTTGCCATATGGTTTATTTGTAGTTTCGAATGGTTACCTGTAAATCGTATTGACGAATAACAAATTAGTGTCGACAATAGGATAAGAGAAAATGAAAACTGATTAATCAAATCCACAGTACTCAGCTTTGTCATTACATGGGCAATACCGCAATTTTTGATTCCGGTCGAAACACATTGACTGCCACGAAAAATATGAGCATGTATCGTTTATATTTTTGTAGCAAAGATAAAAAGAAAAATTATTAATTATTTGATATCGCAATTTGTGCGTTACACTATTATCTAGTTATTTACCCTACTGGGCGTTTTTATTCAACGTCAGCTATCTTACAAGTTATAATTATTTTCAGTACTCGTGTATATACCATTGTTTCCTAACTGAAGGTTGCTCTAGTCGATCATTTATATTAGGTCTGGATTAGTATTTATTTAATATTATAACACATTATTAATATTTTATTTCTACATATACACTTTGTGACAAAATGACAGGACACCCCTAGATTTTTGGCTTTCCATAAATCTAATACAATGTACAAACATTTTATACGTACTAACACAAGAGTCGTCTTTTGTCCAATAACATGCGACAAGACCAGCAGTTGTTTACACTCTTTTCTCTGAATTGGAGCTGTTTATATGAAAAACATGTGCGACAAAAAGATAGGACACTAGGTTTGAAAGTATGATAACGACAAATTTATGATAGTTAATAGACGAACATTGAAGTAGAAAGATCTGTGCGTAATTAATTTACGTATTGTAGTGTTTGTTTAGAGTCAATTAGAATCTTAAGTCCAGTATTAATCGTAAAATGGGTCACGGGAAACAGTTGAATGAAACAGAAAAGAAAACCATTTTAAACTTAAAGAAAGAACAGTTGAGTGTGGACAGAATTGAAAAAATTATAAATCAAAGTAGAAATGTGATCATGAATTTCCTTAAAAAAGGTGGCAATTACAGAAAATTAAAGAGTACAGGAAGACTTATTCAATACTCTCGTTACTGCTCGAAAAATCCGTGGCATTCTAAAAGTTGCATCCAATTCAAGACTAACATCGCGACAAATTGCAGAAGGAGCTAATGTAAATACAAATGTAAGAAACGGATAACGAATACTTAATAAAGTAAAACACATTCAAAAGAAAAAAATAGAAAGGTAAGCCTCTGTTAACACTACAGCATGTAGAGAACAGAATGAACTTCACTCGTGAATGCATCAGATGGAGGAAAAAGTAACGAAATGTCATCTTCACTGATGAAAAGAGATTTAATTTGGATGGGTCTGATGGCTGGTCTTATTAGTTTCACGATTTGAAAAAAAATGAGGTTGTTAAATTTAAATAAAACTGATACATGTAGAAATTGAAATGCATGCTGTCCGTATGGAATCGTTAAAGATTGTTTTTTAAGAAATAACATGAATGTTTTACAATGGCCGTCAAGATCTCCGGATCTAAATATAATAGAAAATATATGGGGAGAATTATCGCGGAATGTGTATAGGCATGGGAGACAATTTAATTCGATAGATGAGTTCAAAATAGTAATAGAGTAAGAATGGAAAACAATATCCAAAAAATGTATAAAATCTTTATATAAACCTTTACCTAAACGTATGTTAGAAGTCATTGAAAAGAAGGGAACACATTATTAGTTACAGATTAACATAAGATTTTTGTAATGTATTAAAGTTTTCATATAAATTATCAAATTTGTCCTATCATTTTATCGTACATGTTTTCCATATAAAGCGATAAAATTGAAAGAAAAGAGTGTAAAAGCTGCTGACTTTTTCATAAGTTAGTGAAGAAAGGATATTCTTTGCATTAGTGCATATAAAATTTTAGTATATTGCATTAAACTTATAAAACACCAAAAATCTGGGGGTGTCCTATTATTTTGTCGCGAAGTGTATAAAGGTAGTCCGTATAACATGCATGTACCTTATTTTCTCGTAATCTGGAAGTTGCGGTCAGCGGTGACCGCCGTGGCGGCCAACGTGTTAAGGGTGGAACTGGTTTAAGGGTGGTAGTAAGTTCGTATTTATTATTGAATATGATATTAAAGATTAAAAATTTAATATTAAGTATTTAATATTTTTTGGATACGTTATGGAAATCAATATTTTGAACAAAATTTTCTTATACATGTAACCCTGTGTTCGGCTTTGGTTTCAGAGATATTCGTGTAAAATTACTAGTCTTAGTCCATTGAATTTTGTTTATATTCCTATAAACACAATCGTAACGACCTAAAACCTATAAATGTAGTGGCTAAAGTGTTTGGAATAAAAGTTTCAAATTGTAATGTAAGAATCGACGTTTCGAACAACTTTCTTCTCTGAAAAAAATAATAGGAATTGATACGAGTACCGAAAACCGCCTGAGAAGATTTTTTGGCATGAGGTAAAAGCATAGACAGCACTCCAAAACCTATATTGTTATTTTTTTTAGAGGAGATAGCTGTTCAAATATCGGTTTATTATAACACATGTACATTTGATAAAAATCGGTGTTACCGCCGTATCTTTTGTTCCAAGTAGCTTAATCATTATATGTACTGGGTTTATGGGTAAACGACTGTTCCTTGCTGATGTCATATACTTTCAAACGCGTGTACATACAAATAAAATTCAATAGGGTAGCGGCATCTAACACGGAACATCTGATTTAAAAAGCTTGTCAAAGCGAAAGATATGCATTTTTTCAATGACATCTGCATCGCGATATGAATTTTATGAAATTCACCGCAACATGTTCATGCAAGTAAAATTGTTGCATTCTATAATATATATTATAAATTGTTTTACTTAATAGTTTATATTTAAAACTTCTTAAAATTACTTTCCCTGTACAAAATAGGTGACTAATATTTACTGAATATCCTCGTCATGTTAAAATAATTATTTTTTAATTTTATTGCTTTAATAACATGTCAATGGCGACGAAGATTCGCACGTATCCTAACCAGTTCGGGTTGTTAAATTGCGGACCGTTTTCACCGACTAAAATTAATTTGGGAAGCCGGTGCGTGTTCCCTTTTTTATTGCATCTAGCGACTTGAACACCTGGCCAACAGCGCAAAGACACGTGGTACATAAGTTCAGGTATACCAGCAGTTAAAATAAAATTAACCGCCTCATTCTATCAATCAGTTGAGTCATTAACCGAAATTAGAATTTTCTTATGATGTACATAGCATAATCCTTGGATTTTTAGAAATCAAGAAGCCACGAACACTTTGTCGCGTAGAAAGTTTCTCAAAATATTGTTTATTGTTGTACGATTAACTTTGACATTCTAAAATCACAGTTAATATGCGTAAACTCGCCAGTTGTAAGGAAAGAAGAACGGAAGACGAGTCAACAAGACAACCCTAAATAAATACGTTAAAACAAGGTGATTCAAATAATTCATATCGTTTGCAGCTTAGAAAATATATCTAATGATGCAAATCTCTTTCTTATCGGCCAAACGTGAGTAAGTGTTGTTTTGACCATGTGCTTCGTTTTAAATAGAAAAGCGTGGAACTCTAAAGAGGTCCTCGATTATCTAGGACTAAACGGTGACACTCTTCGAAATTTCTTTCAGCCACATGTTAAGCGATTTTTATGACTGCCAGTAAAGAATCGACGACTAATCTTTCCGACTAGACTTTCCGGGAAGAAAGTATCCTTTCTCTAGTTTCAGGTCAATAGAAGAAAAAGCGGGTGATATCTGTTTTGCTTCAAGCGTCATTGTTCCGGTGACAATTCACAGACGTTTATCGCATGGTAGGTCCTTTTCGCCGTTTCGAAAAACGGTTATAAAAATCAACATTTGGTTTGCACTTTGGAAAAGCACGATTCTCTGTGTTACTTCGAAACGTACATCTGTTTATCATTTTTTACTATTTCTATTGCTGTATAATTCTGCACGAATACTGCCACTTCGTAATACTGCCACTCTCAAACTTTTAATTAACGTTGTTTTTCTATTTTCTGTGTTTTATATTATTTGTCAGTAAATCCTCAGTGTCAGTAAATCCTCAGTGTCAGTAAATCCTCAGTGTCAGTAAATCCTCAGTGATTATCAGTAAATATATTGATATTATAGCTTTATAAATATTGCTCTAAAAAAAAGGTGAGTAAAAATTAGATACATACAATAAAGGAAATTAAAAAAGGAATCTGAACTTTGTAGATGTTAATTGAATTAACTTTATAATTAACTTGTAAATTAACTTAATTTACGAATAAAATATATTCTGTGTTTATAGAGAGAATGCTAGCGAAAGGAATGCAGATCTAATTGGTCTGTTTTCATTTGTTTTCGTTTCATTTTCGATATTGATGTGCTATTCGTCAATACGAACAAACTAATTGTTCTGGATTATCCGCTTTCCCCCAAAAAACGGAATAAATTTTGTTTGAAACATTTTTTAAATAAACA